AGTTCATAGAAAAAAACACCAGCATTAATTTCAACAATATGAGCGCTGACAGTCGTTTTATGTTCTTAATCAATTCAAAATCAGCGTCTCTACAAAGAGCCACATCAGCATACATTCATCAATGTATGCTGATACGTGAAAATGAATTAAGAAAATTACCTAATACATAGTATATATATATACCTATAATATATTTGGAATCAAACACTCATGTACTATTAGTATAAGGTGCCAAATAAAATTGTATTGTATATTGTATTGTATATTAAATGAACTTTCCCTACATATACATTCCATTTCAACCTGGCGGCAAAAGCTTGTGCCATGACTCTCTTCTTCCTCGAGATCAAGATTGCCTGTGTCACTCGCTGCCTGTGTCAAGTCAAAACCCTAATAAGCTTCCATACGCAATTGTTGTAATACGTAGAATTGATACGATACTCTAAGTCTTCTAATGGGCATGAAATGCATTCCAGTCAACGGTAACATCAGTTTGATGGTCTTTAGTAAGAGTATTTACTTTATTGATGATCGAACACTGTTTGATCTGTGACCCTGACATTTCCAATTGGAAAAGTAAATAAATTAAAATTAGCAGTATCACACCAATTCATATATTTAATCTGAGTCACGGTGCTTTAGCTGAGTGGTGTTTACATGAACGGTGAAGGATGACAGGCAGTGGATCGTTCTCGACAAGTCAAACACTTGGGACAAATTTTGACAAGTTTTGATATTAAATATATTATTAGTTTAATTGAATCCTTATCGATCGATAGAAATAATCACATGTAAAAACTGATGCGTGACACGAAACATTTGTAACACGAGCTACACAAACCTGTCATTTGAAGAGGATATACTACACGAAAACATTCTTCATACGACAGTACATGTAGGCACGCACTGAATTCATTACTCTAGTCTTTATCAAACGAAAGTACTAGCCACATTACTAGCCTAATAGAGGTTATCGTTAGCATTTTATTACCATAAATGGCAACGACATCTTTGCGACACCAAGATCAAGATGGTTTGAATGTTGAAACCAGAAAATTTACCATAGTGTTCTTTGGTGATTCTTCTGTTGGCAAGACATCTTTGATACTCAGATTCTTGGGATATGGGTTTTCAGACGAATATCAACCGACAATTGAAGACTTTTTCATTAAACATGTAYTTTATAATAACAAGACATGTGAACTTCAACTGATTGATACTACGGGAACGTACGAGTTCCCCGCCATGAGGAAAGTGGATATCTTGAAGGCTGATGCATTTGTTCTGGTTTACACTCCAAACAACCCTGTTTCCTTCAAGAAGTTGAGTCGATACAGAAGTGAGATACTCGAAGAAGGAAAAGACAAATGCCCATGTATTGTAGTATGCAACAAGAGTGACCTTGGAAGGGATGTTCAACAGCCAATACTCAGGGATCACAGAGGAATGCAGGTCAGCGTACAACATTTAGTAGAAAACCAGTGGAGGTGCCATTGGATGGACTGTTCAGCCAAAGAAAATTATAACGTTGAACTTATATTTTACAGGCTTTTAGATGACATTTGTAAACTATATCAAACTGAAACACCTCTTCGTAAAATAAGTTCTTTACTACAGCTGCGGAAAAAATCGGTTTCTAAACAGTCTTTGGCAAGTCTAGACCACGAAAACACAAGATGATAACCTAGTAATTCAGCAGTGATAGAATTCTACAGCCGAACACAAATGACTATATACTAGGGCGATATTTTGACATCTGAAGTGAAAGTTCAGCTCAGTCGTAGCTACGACTTCCGAGTGGCATCACTACTTAGACAAAGATTTCAGCGCGTGCAAACAGGCAGCAGACATTGGCAATGTTATCATCGAGTTTTCCGGCATTTTATTTTACCTTCTGCAAACCTTCTCGCATGCAAAAGACAAATATTCATTCATTTATTTGCTTTTTTTTTAAATTCTTTTTCATTGATTTTGAAGAATGTTTTAGTGCTTGTCATGACGATCAACTGACATTTCACGTTAGTCGCGCGTAAAAGAATGCTTTTTACTCTCAAATATCTTTTATGTATCATTTTGCTAGAATCAACACAGGGAACCCGGCTATATATTTTTTGCTTCTTTTAGAAAATTAACTTTGCTCTTTGTGGGCTTCCTGTGTTGTGATCAGTTTCCTTTTACATAAGGTGTAATCAGATCGGCGCTGTAATCAGATCGGCGTGGTAAACTGATAGCCAATTAAATTCAAATCAATAACCGTTGGTGATTTGTTTCTTATGGGTTGCCTGTGGTGTGTAACGCACTTTCTAGTAAACACTTAAAAGAGATATTATTATTCTAAAAAAATTGGAAATAACCGTTACTCACCAAAACACAAAATTTGAATTCCCTTGTTTACAGGGTTTTACATCTTGAATATTTTCGAACAACATGACGCAATCGAAACATGAAATTCATCAAGACTTCCTGCTTGTTGTACTAAAGTAGCTGGTCCGAGCAACTGGAGGTGATGATCATACAATAAAACTTGCTTTGTTGCAGCCCTTCTCTTCTTTTGAGTGTTTACTAGAGAATATCTATTATTATTATTTATAGTGGAGGGAAAAAAATTCGATAACCCAGTGAAAATGCGTCCAATTGTCTTCAAACTGAGCCAAGTAATAAACTACAACAAGTTATCATGGTAAGTCGTTTTTATTCAAATAAACTTTGAATAAATTTCTATTCGAATTTTGACCGTTAATCGCTCACATTCAAAGCTGTTATAAGCACTGTATTGCAGTGCTTGGGCTGCCTGTGCCGCGTAAAGATAACATCATATACAAATGTAAGTGAAGATTTGATGGAAAAAGATACTTAACTGTGCTGACGTTTTATACCTTTTAAGGCTTAAACCTTTCGTCTTTATTACTAAGATATCTATCTTGTTCACCTCCTCGCTAATCATCATTCATTTCTATTTGTTTAATATTACATTAATACACAATCAATTATCAACTATGATTTTATCCTGATGATCATTACGTTCTCKTTGTTCCAGGTTCTATTTGTTGTTTTGGCGACTGCGACAGGTCGGACAATTTAAAAATGTATCCAATCCCGTTTGCTTGGCCTTTAGAAATGTTGATGATTTGTAAATAAGCTTTGTAACCAAAACGTTTTATATTAATGCCTAAATAGTATAGCTAATGCGTATAGAGACCTACTTCAGGATTATGATGTACGTGTCTTGACATAGTAGACCTAATTTTACGTATAGTTCCTTTGTTGCTAATAGTTTCACCGCTTCAATTGRGATAACCTCGAGTCTGTCGATCTACACTAAGTCGTTATGTGAACGTTTTGACGCTCAAATGGTTTATTAAAGCGAAGTCATAAATATGTCACGTATTGTCTCTAAACAGACATAACCATGTGAACTGAATACAGCTATTTCTATCAAGGTTTATGAAGGTTTGCATGCATGTTGCTTGCCACTTACCAACCTTCAAATGTATTATCCTCAAATGTAAATAATATAAGATCGCTAGAACATATGCCGAAATAACGTGCGGATAAAGTTTACGTAAATTCCATATTGTTGGGACCTTTCGCTGGTCGCATTCACATCACCCATCGTGCATTTCGGGCTTAGTTGCAACATGCAACAAAACCTTCACCGACCTTTTTTGAAATAGCTGAATAATTAACGAATCAGTGACATAAATCAGTTTTGCTAGTGTATTGTCCGTCCTCTTATTGATGTTATTTTGATACCATAATGACGAAACAGTAAGAGGACAGACGTAGAAAAGTTATGTATTTCTTTTTTATACAATAACAAAAACGCTCCTCGTTGATCAAAACACACAACGGAATGAGCGCGCACTCTTGGACGACCGCTTTTCTGCCTTTCCTCTTAACTTTTGCAATTGCAATTGATGATAAAAAATAGCCAATCAGCGCACGAGAAATGCGTAAGTTATTCAAAAAAATATCATACAATGGATTAGAAGTTTTGCTGCTTCTACAAGGATGCTCTTTTAATTTTACCTGGCTGCATTCAATATATATTGGAATCTGTAAGCTAATCAAGACTCTTTTGATTCTGCAGAATATAAACATGAACACTCAGGCACTTGTATCTATACTTTTGGTGTTTTTTGTGCTCATTGAAGAAGGTCGGGTTCATGGTGGAAAGAACCATAAAAGATTGGTCTACAAAAAGGGCGATCATTTATTTAACAACATCGCAAAAGCCTTCACAAAAATGATTCGAGACATATTCACCGAAACGAAGATTCATAGGTTCTGCACAACTCGTGCAGGAGATCAGTTCATTGTTGAAGATACTACTGATAAAAACAAAGATGTAACTAATCTATTCCCAGTTATGGCGGACTCCTTCCGGGAATACGCGACTGACAAACTACTTACAACGGATCGTGACAGTCTGTCTGTTTATGGACAAGAACACAAGGGACCCGATGAAAATGCTATTAAATGGAATGCAAACATCGAAGACGTCAGAAGAAACGTTTTCGCTTCAATTGCTAAAGTAAATTATAACCTCATTATTCTTTGGAATTCGGCCTAGGACTATCGTGATTATGTTCAATTACGCACAGTAAATTTGAGAGGACCAGTTTGGCCCCAGAAAACCATTTATGCTTTTTCAAAGTAGTGCTATTTTAGCCCAGGCTAGGACCAAAATAGAACAATGCCATTTTGGCCTCAAAGAAGCCATTTTGGTATGGGTCTATCAGTACTGTTTTGGCCCCCTCAACTAGGCCAAATTAGGGGGGAAATCCATATGAGAGGCTAAAACAGTTCCAAAATCAGAGCTTAAAAATTGGCCCTTACCGGTAGTGCCAAAATAGCCCTACTTTAAGGAGGCCACTATAGGGTCAACAAAAAACCGCCCTATCCGATTTACTATGCGGTATTTACTCGTTTAAGCAATTAAAGGCAATAATGGCATTAACAACCAACTAGGCTAGGCTTATTGAGATAATTTTGAAAAATGGAAACGGAGATCGCTAATTTAGCTGGTGTGGCTAACTGATTACAAATACGAGAAATGGTATGTGAATAGGAATTATGTAAATGCTGACTATTATAAGAATTCTGTACTACGTTATGTCTGCTGCTGCCTCTTAGATCATGAGGCGTTGCGCGAGCTTTCAAAAAGTTCTTCTGTGCTGAACATGATTTACATATGAAATATCCAGGTGAACTCGCGCACGCCTTTCAGGTTACTATTAACCAATCAGAAGCATTTTTGTTGCATCGTCAAAAGTTCCATGATGAATTTCAAAATGGAGTCGTATTTCGAATTAACTTTTTTAAAATACTTCCTGGAATATAACTTTACGTTGAAAAACGTTATGTTACATGTACCAGAAGAGCTTCCTCTTGCCCTATCAGCAATTGAAATTAATAAAACAAACCATAAATGCAACAAAAGTAAGTGAAATCGGTGTTGTCTTAATTATTCACCAGCCGCCATTTTGATTATTAGTATTTTAATAGTTCTTAAAAGAACTGTGCAATTTGACAAACAATCTTTTGCGCACTTGGAGGCGAGATCACCTGGATTATGTATTTCGAGCTTAGCAAGCAGCAAGCAACATACAACAAAACCTTTATACCAACGCTTATGGATTGTTGGTTGTATGTTGCCATGTCTTTTTTAATGACTCTGTTTCATTTTCGTTCAGGTTGGAATAGAGGTCAGCCACGGTCAAGAGAATCACTGGCACTCCAAAATAACCTCCAAGAAAGAATTGATCAAATCGTCAATAAACAGGAATATGTCGACAAAGATGCGATGAAACTTTTTATGAAGAAACAACAGAACATGCCGTTGGTTCGTCAAGTAGAACAGCGTTCTGAGGCTGTGCTGATGGATCTACCAGGCAAGGCCAACCGATGGGCTGTGGAAGCGAAAAAATTTATTATAAAGAAGTTCAGTGGTAAGAAGTAGCTTCCAAGAGCTGAGCAAAATAATCCAAAGCAGATACATGTTTGTTTTGAGTTAAATGATATTTATGATTGCGAATACGTAATTGTATTGCACGTAGGAATGAAACATTGATAACAAACAATAATAAACAAATATAGAAAAAAAAATTAAAGAAAAATCAAATAAAGTTTCTCGAGGTGGTCATCTCTTGTCTAGACATTAATGTTTATAACTGATTAAAATATTCCCATGCTATGCACTGTTAAATCAATTTGTAAATTGCTACTAGATATGCAGAATATTTTCAAGTCTTTCAATTTGCAGCTGCATACGTTGCTTGATATAGTGAGAGGGTCAGCTTAACTTGATACATTACAAACGCAGTACAAATATATAGTTCATATATGTTCTCATACACATATATCTCCTACATATCAACTCCATTTTATAGACATTCAGATAGTTAAAATAGTAGGGCGCAACCTTTCTTATAAGTTCTCGTAAATTGTAAAGGAGTCCGCCATTTTGAGAATACAAAACAATCTAAAAACGACCTTTGAAAATCAAGCGACGTGGCGGCACTATAGATTCAAAATCACCTAGAGAATAGCACTTAGAATTAATTCTGCTTCAATTCGTGGTTTCCTAGGCTTCTCTCTTATTCTCTAATGATCCGGCGGAAACAGTTTTCTATTTCTTAAGGATACTGGGTACGCCAATATTGCTCTAAAGAAACTTAGGTTTTTAGGATTTTCCATATTTCGAGAGAATAGACAATGTTTTTTTTTTCGCCTAAAAATAGATCTTCCACAGCCTTGACCAAAAAATCGATCATAAACTCGAAAAAAGGTCGACAGTAAAATCGACAAAAACTCGAGCAAAACACTCGACCAAAAAACTCGACCAAAAACTGAACAAAAACTCGCGAGAAAAATTATGACCGTGGAGAGTTTGTATCAATCGTACATAAAATTGACCTGATTCGGCATAAACTGTATATAAGTTGTCTCTGACTTTAAAACTGGAGCCTAAACGTCCTATTATATATTCGTGCCCGTGTTCTATTAATTTGATCCTCGTTTCAATAAATGCGACAAAGTGCTTTCTAAGGAAAAAGTTTTTGCTCACGGCTAATAGTACTATAATATATTGGTGCCCATGGTAACATTGAAGGCTAGGCTATGTCTATATTTCAACTAATGGAAAAGCTTGATCCAAAACAAATTGATTCCATCATAGACATCCACTTTCAAGCGAACGTAACTTGCGTAAACGAAGAGTTTGGGGAACATAACGGGAATTTTAAAAAATGGTCGCTTACGGCAGATAGTCGCTTACGAGAGTGGTCGTTCAAAGAGAGTCGACTGTAATAGACATCTTCATTAAAGTCTGTCTGATAATCGCGTAAGCATGAAACTCGGAGTAATAGCTAAAGTGATGTCTTGTATTTGATCTATCCACAAT